CTGTTGCTGTTGTTGTTGTTGTTGTTGTTGTTGTTGTTGCTGTATGTGCTGTTGTTTGGGAACTGCTATTCGTTCAAAGTAGGTCTGATTCACTTTGATTATCTGTGGTTGTGCTTTATCCTTTCAGTTTGTTAGGAATGAGCCGAGCTGAGTGTTTGCTCAGAAACCCATCGGCAGTAGTTAGAGCCCGTTGACAAGAACAATAAACAGATCGACGCCTAACTTTTCCATGCATACGTTAACACCAATGCCTTTATAACCCTACATCAGCATTTTGGCATATCCTATCCTGGGTTAGCCTCTTGGTATTTTTCATTCTCTTCCCGCTTTTCTGTACATCATTCTCTCGGCCTCTTCTCTGGGCTGCACTCGGAAATTCCCCTTCAACTCTTACCCTGGGGATTCAACTTCAATACTTTCGATGCAGAGGGTGTGGTAGCGGAGCGGTTAGTGCTCTCGTCTCCGAAGCGGAATGTCCAGGTTGGAGCCTCGGTTCGGACACGGATTTTTTTCGCCCCCTCCTGCCCATCCAGCAGAAATGGGTACCTGACTTCGAGTTGGGAAAGTAAAGGAGACGAGGAAAGGAACTGGCCACCCTATTATAATATGTCGAAGGCCCAGGAAGTTGTCTCACTAAAAAGGCAATCCCCAAGATCCGGATCGGACGCAGGAACAACTTTACTTTACATACTTTGGATGCATTACAAAGCAATAACCTGCATAGTACACTCGAGGCGAAGTCAGAAAATATACGAATGTTTCCATTTTCTCTTTGTTAAATAGTGTAAAAGTTTTGATAAATAATTACAGTATTCATTTTCCGTTGATCCAGACCTAGACAAAGGATATGCAAAATAAACACATTTTGCCGTGAGAGATAATCAAGACGGTCTCAATAGCACACACACGAGAATGCTTAAGACCATGAGACAATGTTAATTATGCTTACTGACTGACTATCAGAGAGTGGGACTATTTTGTAAATATATGAATTTTTGGCTCAGACTAGTAAGGCAGAAAAGGGCCCTTCGTTCCAGGGACAACTGTCTTTCAATAAGATGCTGGGTGAACTGTCTTGTAGTATAGAATCTTTAAAGAGGTAGGCCTATAGTTCGTGCCAAGAGTGTATTTAATATTATAACTTCAAAGTCATCTTGTTTTAGTAGGAGTTTTACGGCACTTGCAACAACACATTTAGGTCATATAAGTGTCGAAGTTAAAAGGTGTTATAAGAGAGTAACACAAACAAAAACAGGAGAGATAAAGACGATAGATATTTGACAGGGGAAAAGGAGCAAACAACACCAGAGCACCCACTGATACCCATCTAACGCTAAAAGAAAAGCTTAAAGACAATCGTCGTTACAAGTAGAAAAAAACGGTGCAAATTCTCGCACTATACTATGCCTTCGACAAGGGGAAGAAATAATACAAAGTGTAAAGACTGTACCTGGATCGTTGGACAGAGCTCAAAGATGACACAATCCTAGTTGAAAACACCGGTGACTCGAATGGTGGCTGCTGCAGACACACACCCCCTTTTAAAATAGAAATAGGCCCAGTTCATGGAAGTAGGCTACTTCAGGCAAAGTAGGCCTAGTTCTTGAAAAAATAATGGGGTGGTTACAACGTGTCTGAAAGGGTTACTTTTGAATATCGGTGCCGGCTGTTCCAAGTTTTTTGTTTTGTTTTGCTGTGCATGACTTGATCATACAGATTCGATTTGACGGATTAATTAAATTAAAGTGTGTGTGTGTGTGTGTATGTGTGTGTGTGTGTGAGAGAGAGAGAGAGAGAGA